GTATCAAAAAAGATACTTCAAACAATGGGCATCGGCGCAGTAAATGGCCGGTAAATAAGTAGGTATTTTTTGCCCTGATCGCCATCCGTGAAGATTTTAATTAGTCTAAAAAATAGCATTAGCAGACAGCACAAATCCGTGCTACTTTAGCATGTAAATGTACGTACATACGTACATATATAAGATTCGGGTTTAATATATTCCAACCTTTAATAGCCCGAGTATAGTAGACGGCTGAGTTGTTATACTGTACCGTGAAAAGAATAAATTTAAAGTGCATGCACACTTTGTATTTATAATAGGTCGAACTGACGAAAATTATTGAAAGAGATTGAATGTAAAAAAGCTCAACAACTTAGAATTGTCCACAAATGTGTTCACTGGACAACAATACGCACTGAAAAGCCTAAGAAATACTCTACGATATATATAACAATATTAAAATATTATACATATAGCTTAAGACTTTACACGAAGTTAACCATCCCAATATTATTAAATTCTATGGTGTTTCCAAAGGTACGAAGTATACTTTGAAAATTAAATAACATTAAGTAATAGATATCTATCCTAACGAAATATTAAATGTCTGACATTTATAATAGGTATAGAATTCTGGGAGCTCAAAAGTGGACCTCCTTTATTATCAGATTCACAAAATCGTGTGGAAATAATTAAGATTTCTCAAGAAAAAAGGGAGAAAATGAAACTTGGGATTCCAATAGATTATGCCAAATCTATAAGTGGTTTTGGGCTCTAGCACTTCATGCATAACCTATCGTCAGACGTTTTTCGGGTTCAGACTTCCAACTTGGGAGTCTGAATTCGAAAAACGTCCGACGATAGATAAACTTTTAACTGAACTTGAGGTTTATCTAGAGAGATAAAGATTCTATCGGTCATAATTATTAACAATTAGTCATTACCAATTAACATATATAAAATAGTAAATAAGTCGTATTATGTATTTTATATTTTTAATGAAAATATTTATAATAAATATAGAGTTATCTTCATGTACTCAAAAACTATGTGTTAGTATCGGAAGTTAAGTGGGAAAAACTTTATCAACATTATTCTTGCCCTTGTGAATCACCTGATTAGTTTCGTTATTCTTTCGTTATTTTTTCACCGTTCTTTTGTAAAATAGATAATATAAATATCATTAAAAGTGTTAGCTCGGATTCACTAATAAAAAAAATTGGTTTGTCGAAAATAATCCTTAAGTTCAATGTTTTTTTAGCTGAATGTCAATTGTCGAAGTGCCTTGGAAAATCGTTAAAACGTGTTGCAGATCCATAGGTAGACTTTGTGATTGGCTGGTTAAGTCTATTTAATTTGACATTATTAATATAGTATAAAGCACTTTTTTAAAAAAACTCAAACTACGAAGAATAAACAAAAAAAGAAGTATATAAAAGGTTTTATTAGGGTTGTAGGACTTCATCATTAAAAATAATCAAAATCATTTTTGGCTTTAGAGAAGTTAACATAATAGCGACTTCTTAAAGTAGTAGAATTGGGTTATTACCATGCTAACTTCTTTAAAACAAAAAGGGATTTTGATTATTTTTAATTGTGGAGTCCTACAACAACCCTATTAAAACTTTTATATACTTCTTTTTTGTTTATTCTTCGTAATTTAAATTTTTTTTTAAAAAGTTCTTTAAACTGTATAAATAATGTAAAATTAAATAGACTTAAACAGCCAATCATACGAAAGTCTTCCTATGGGTTGCAGATTTGGGTCGTTCATTAGCATTTAGCATTTTTATTTTGGAATATTCAGATGAGTAATACTGTAATTTAGTAAGATAAACACTAAAATCAATATGTAATTTTTCTGTTTAAATTTTAATTGATGACAGAAAAAGAATATTGTAGTTTTTTTGCAAGTTAAAATTTAGTGAATTTAATCATTAGTCTAACAATCTTATAAAGAGAGAGTAAAAATTACGGTGTTTCTTCATGTATATCCTCTGTGAACTGTATCCTGCAACAGTTTTAGAGACCAAGTTTTCCGTATATTTTATTATGTATTCCCAAAGGACATATGCATGATAGCATCATACTTAGGTACACGGGTCCAAATCATGAACTACGGAAATACCTTGGGTACACATGTCAAATGAATGCAGAAAGCTTAAAGTGAATTAATTTTAATGACTTCTCTACAATATATAATCAGAGCTGTTTTCCGGATCAGGACGATGCTTTCTGTGGTTAGAAGTTATCGATTTCGTTTACGAAAAAATTAATAAAAATGTATATCGTTTGATTTTCCTCATCAAGACAAATCTGATGGTGGAAAAATCATCCGACTCTGATCACTGTGTCACGAGATATTGAATGCAGCATAAAGTTTGGGAGGTATCGTGGTAAATTGACCTATTGTGGCGATCAATTATATCTTGTGACCCATCGTCCAAATCGAACTATTTTTAATCATTCGATTCATCTCGATGAGACAAATCGAATAGTGCAAAAAAATCACTCAATTTAGATTATTAAGGCACGAGATATTGCATCCGAATCTTATATGGAGACGCCCATAGCAAAAGGGGGATAGGACTATATAATATATAGCCCCATCCCCCCTTTGCTGTAGGTGTTCCTATATATTAAAAGATCAATATATCGTGTTTGAGTGCCAATTAGAGGTGCAGGTGAAACTTGAGTCATTAGGATGTGCCATGTCGAAACTCAGTTATAACTTGTCGATTAAAAATGCGGCAAATCGAAACTTGCGCATGTCGCAACTTATTATATGCCGTAACCTGTATTATCCGTCAGATTACTATGATCGGGCTGCCAAATAATTCGGGTTATTTGGCAGAAAAAAAGTTTATTTTGGTTAT